GCTGGCCTATTTTTCCTCTCCTTTTCTTTCTTTGAGGGCTTATGATGATGCTAGAAGTTTGTTGAAGGGAAGTACCGGGGGAGAAAAAAAAAAAGGTTTCTGAGATTGTTTATTACAGCCATAAATCTTGCAGTAAAATGTCGAAATGGCCGTGTGCAAGATAACACTTGGTGGTCTTGGCTGGGTTCTTGTTTATGATAACAAAACCACAAAGACATGGAACAGGCCTTTTGGAGGTCCTGCCTCAGCACATCTTCGCAGACTGATAGAACCAGGCGAAAAAAACAGACTTCAGCCGAGCAGCTCAGGTCACCTTGCAGATTTACAGTCGTATACAGAACTGCATCCTTCTCTCTGTAACCCAGCGCCAGAGCCCCCCGGTAGGACGAGGCGCAGTGAAACAAGTATACTTTGAGATCTAATCACGGTAAATCAGACGCAGCAGAGCCCGGTCGGCTCTCCCGGTGCCAGCGCTGAGCTGACAAACCGAGCCCCCGCATTTCGGTGTCCCTTACCGCGCCTTGGGAGCACGGCAGCCCGCTGCGCTGCTCCGGCCGCCGTGTCTCAGGACTTGCGCCGAGGAGAACATTTACGATAACCCAGCGTAATTCATCTGGTGCTGGCCGGCAGGTATTTGGGCGTCTCTGTCTGTATGTGTGCATGCGTCTCTCCGCGCCGGGGAAATGCTCTCTGCTCGCGGTGGACTTTGGCAATCTTTTATTTTTTACGGTCATGTAAGTGGGAGCTTTATTCTTTCACAACGTGCGTCGCTGTTGGTTGGTTTTTGTACTTTGTTTTTTGTTGTTTTTTTTTTTTTTTCTTTGGCTTTTATTTTTCAGTGTACATAAAACTATCTCCCCTTTCCTGTCAAATGTCTGTTGTTGAACAGTTGCGGCTGTCTCTGTGTGCGTGTGTGTAACCGCATTTCCTCTCCGTGCAGAGTAAATAGAGAAACTTATCTATTAGCCCAGTTAAAGAGTTCCATAGATGTGCTGTTGGAAATGAGTGAGTAAATGTGTTTTAAGTCTCTTTACAAATTAGACATTCGATAGGAGGAGGAAATGAGTGATTGTTTAGATAAGTACCCCAGTATACCCAAGTGCTGGAAATGTTCTAACACATTACAAGCCGCCTGCAATGTGCGTGCGTGTGTGTGGAGAAAATATAAATCGATAGGATGCGTGTCTTGTTAGATAGAATATATATTCAAATATAATTTTATTGCATGTATCCATTATCTATAAAACTGCGAAAGACAATAATCTGAATTTAAACCAGGGTAACTGTTAATGTAATATCTTTAGGAGGGCAAGATCTAAACCGTATCATATTTACGCTTGATGTATTAGATGTATTTTCCCATACCAGCAGATGAGATTACCCACTCAACAATTATATTCTCTAAGGGTGCGGTAAATGTTTCTAGGTGTTTATACCCTTTCCTGAAAAGTAGAGGAAAAAAAAATCCGAAAACTTCCCCTCTAACTCGAAATGTACCAGATTAGCTGACGTTCAGTAAGTGCGGGCTTGGTTATTTTTCCCCCTTAGAATAAGAGCGTAATTACTTTAACCATCAAATTTCAATTAACTGGGGTCAGGACGGTTGCCTCTTTTCCCTCTGAGCTGCAAATATCGTTAACAGTCTCAGTTTTAGCAAGGCAGAAGTGCCCGAGTGCCCTCTCCCTCCTACGCCAGGGTCCGCCAGTTACCTCTGCGCGGGGTGCTGGCCATTGCCCGCGGAACAGAAAACGCATAAGCAAGCCCAGGGAGAGGCGTACCAAACCGGAGGAATTCACCTCGCAGTTTGGAAACCGCTCCTCGGCGGGCAGGGATGCTGGCGGCCAGCCCTGCCACCGCCGCTGGGAAGCGCTTGATACCGCCGGGTCCCGGCCGCCCC